GCGATTAACTTTTGAGACCCCCTAGATATATTTCAAATAACTATCGAATCGAACTGTGCGCATATCATGAAATTCCATGGCAACAATTTGTTGACTAGATACAAAATAATTCGTTTAACCCCTTAACGCGCAGAAACGTATTAACACGGGCGTGCAAAACCGGCCAAAATGTGCAGACCCGTATATATACGGTCGGCGTCGCAACTTATGTTATGTTACCTATATTAATTGAAAAACAGTACGATGGGTACAAAATTCGATCTGCAATACGATTCAATATTCACTATAATTATTTATCCACTATTTTTATTGAATTTTTAGTAATTTTTGCATTTTTTTTACATATTTATTGAAATTAAGGTCCAAATATGTATTTTCTTAGATAAAAAAAATTGATTTTTTTTGGTCGGTTTTTTTTTTTAAATTGTGCATTAAGGGGTTAATAGCCCAAAAATATAATTTGTATACTAGATCACGAAATAATTTATTTACTATCTCTAAAATAATTTGTTTACCAGCGCTATATGCTTTAATTTTCTGTCATTCGATTTTGCTAGGGTCGTTCGATTATAATAAACGTCTACCCGGACAGGTTCTAAACGATTCCAGGCAGGTCGAATCGAATCAGGGTTATTTCGGTGCACCGGAAATGGTCTCCTAATGTTCCTAACAAATAAACGGTTCGTCGAGCGCGCATAGAGAATCGAAGCCGCGTTTTCTTCCAGACAAAGGAGCCTGCGCCGTGATAGAGCAAACTCGTGGAAACGCGCCGCGCCGCGCCGGTGCACCGAATCCCGTGGAACGTGACAAACAAGGAGAAAGCATCGAGGAGAAAAGTGAAAGAAATCTCCGTTGCCAGAGAGCTGAAATGTCCGACGGAATTCCCATCGATTCGCGTGCAATTCTTCCGGAAGACACGCATTCTAATGCTACGTGCACACGTGAGACCGTCTCCCCCGCATAACTCTCACGTTTCCAAACGTTTCGCCGACTAAATTCTTGTCACTATGAAAACTAAAAGCAAAAATCTTTAACCGTGTAGGCAGTTCTCTTTTGACAGTTTTCTAATAATTCTTTTCAAATCGATGAGCAACGGCGAAGAATTATTTAAAAAATTGTTCAAAGACTATAATAATTTTACCCATAATCCGTCGAATTGTTTAGATTAATAAAAATCTGTTGTAAATTTAAATTTCTGGTAAAAATCTATTACAATAAAACACTTACCCTCACTTAAATCCAATTATAATTAAAATTTATATTAAAACTTTATCTTAATTTACATTTCTAATAAAAATCTACTACAATTCAAATTTATTTAAAAAAGCTACCCCGATTAAAGTTTCTAATAAAAAGCTATTACAATGTAAATTTCTACTAAAACTCTATCATAATTAAATCTACCATTATTTAAATCCAATTAAAATTACATTTTCTGTTAAAAATGTATTGCAATTTAGATTTCTATTAAAAATCTATTGTAATTAAATTTATCCACATTTAAATCGTTAAAAATTATTATTTGAAATAAAATTATCGTACTTCTATTACTACTAGACACAGTTCAGTCATTGGAAAGCCTATTAATTTGGTTCCGGT